GCCCGAACTATTGGACAACCCGACCCCGGAAGCCCCGGTTTTACTGCTTGACATTGTTTCCCCGGGCCCCATTTCTTCGAACGAGGTGGCGAGGGTTTCTGCCAGAGACTCTGTTTTGTGCACTGTAATGGGCTGGGTAACAAGGGGTTGGCCTACCAAGGTGGACGGTGGTGACTTTCAATTGTACTTTAACAAAAAAAATGAACTGTCAATGTTGGGGGGTTGCTTGTTGTGGGGAGACAGGGTGGTCATTCCTTCGCGGTTAAGGCACAGAGTTCTAGAAATGCTGCATGAGGGACACCCTGGTGTTGTTCGCATGAAAGGTTTAGCTCGTAGCTATGTTTGGTGGCCACATCTCGACCAAGATGTCACTGATTGGGTGGGGAAGTATAGGCCCTGCCAGGAGTCCCGCCCAGATCCTCCCATAGCGCCCGTTCGGGAATGGGAAAAACCAAAAGGACCTTGGGGGAGGATTCACATCGATTTCGCTGGCCCGTTCCATGGCCAGAATTTTCTTATTATTGTAGATGCATATTCTAAGTGGCTCAAAATTGCCTTAATGCCATCTACCACTTCTGAGGCCGTAATCAAAGTACTCAGAAAACTATTAGCAACACACGGGTTGCCGGACACCCTGGTATCCGACAATGGGCCCCAATTCACGGCGACTCAATTTGAAGGCTACCTAGCCGAATTAGGCATAAGACATGCATCATCTGCTCCTTTTCATCCGGCTTCTAATGGCCTTGCTGAAAGATTTGTAAGAACGGCCAAAGAAGCCCTCTCCCAACTCGATGCAGGGGACTGGCAGGCTAGAATAGATGAGTTCTTAGCGGTACAGCATGCCACCCCGTGCCCCACTTCGGGCCGCAGCCCAGCCGAGCTTCTAATGGGCCGAAAGCTACGATGCGTTCTAGACAGACTGCATCCTAATTACTCCTCCGATAGCTTCACCGGGGAAGGGGGAGGACTAAGACATTTCGAAGTAGGATCACCAGTTTTTGCTAGAAGCTACACCAATGGGCCCTTATGGGTAGAGGGAACCATCGCAGGAATTACCGGTCCAAAGTCATACACAGTTGATATAGGGCATGGTAAAATCTGGAGGAGGCATATAGATCAATTGCGTAAACGTTTACCAAACGAAAACTCGTGTCCTAACTACCCAAGTCTTCCTGACACAGCTACCTCAAGCCCGAGAAAGCCGGAATACTTATCTGGCAACCCTGAGTTCCAGCGCCGCCCCAGCGAGCCGACACTCCCAGCCGGAGATAGCCACACCTCCGGAGAAATCCGGGAGGTTCCATTGGCAGAGCCAGGAGAGACGGGAGGTCCCTCCGACCAGCTCGACGCCTCGCCAACAACTGAACTGCGCAGGTCAACCAGGATTAAGACACGCCCTGGTCACCTGCGTGATTTTGTATGTAAATATGTAAATAGATAGAATAAGTGCCTTCTGGGAAGGGAGGGGTGTTGTGTATGTATCTATTTTGTGCGGGAAATTCAAATGCACAGTGAATCCTGATTGGTTCTTGGTTGCCTCTGGAAAGTATATAAAGAGGGCTGTTGCCTGTGAGTTTTTGCTGAAGTCTCACCCTGAATTAAAGAGCTGTTGTTACTAGCCTGCTTGTGCCTCTCGTTATTCCCGCGCTACAACACTTACCCTTACACAGGAACAGGAAGCTCTAAGGCGGGCCCAAGAGAGGGTATATGTGTGTGTGTGTGTGTATGTATGTGCGTATGTGTATATTTATATCTGTGTGTATATGGTGTGTGTGTTTGTGTGTGTGTGTATCTTCCATGTGCTCAATTGCCCAGGACCTCAAATCATGTGGTCCTGTCCACCATTAAACCATCTTTCCAGTGTCTTTCTTCCCACTTGGAAGTGAACCCAGATGGACATTTCTTCCAACAGTAGTAAAAGTGGAACGGTGGTAAAAGAAGAACCTAATGCAAGTATTTAACCAATTCTACCCTATCTTTCCACCTTTAAAATAAAAATTTGAAAGGTCATATGTATTTATTTATTGGATTCATGTGCTGCCCATCTTGCCGAGAGGTGACTCTGGGTGGCTTACAAGTATTACAACCAGAAGCATTAAAAAGATAAAACAGTAATAACAATAATCATAGTTATGCTAAAAAATTATCATTAAAAGATTAAAAGTGGGAAGGGAGGGAAGAGAAAGAAACATGAAGACCAGAGTGGGAGGTGGCGGGGGTCTTTTCTCATTATTTTCATAATTGTTATTATTGGAACCTTATTGTTCCAGGTGTTCTCCTGCTCCAAGAGATTAAGAATTGATTTCTTGGAATTTGAACAAAGCTCCTTTTGGTCGTTACCGACAAAGCAACAATTGTTTGCTAAGACTAAGGGATATTTTACTAATGTGAAAACACTGAGGCTACTTGGGGCTACTTATATTTTAAAATAGGTTGAATGTGTATGAATGGAAGCCCAAGAAGAAAGCCTTTCAAAGTATGTAGGAAAATCTTCTCAGCTGAAATTAAGGGTGGGGAGAGCTTCCTGTAAAAGGAAGTAGTAGATGGTTTTCTCCCAGTCTGTAAATGAGCACACCTTTCACCTATCTGATTTCTAAATCTTCCATTGTCCCCAGCCAGATAGGATCTTAATGAGAGGTATAGCCCAAGATAACTGGAGGTTACTAGGTAATGGCCAGGCAATTCTCTCCACCCTTTGAACACAGTTAAAATATTTTGATATTTTCCTTCCTGCAAGTAGTTTTCAGCCTCAGTCTTTCTATAATCACTGTATCTCTGCTAAGCTGTGGCTTGGATATTGTCAAGCATCTACTTCTGATGATGTTGAACAGATCCAGGATGCCATCGGGGAGGGAGCCGAGAAATGCCTTATCACTCAAGGAGAAGACTGCCCTGAACTGAGGACAGACACAAGCCAGCCTTGGAAGTGATGCATGGTGCTCCTCCACATAGAAACCCAGGGTTGTACTGGAGATGTTGGTTTCCAAAACCCGCTATATAATCCTGCTATATAGGGCTTTAGTCAAACCAGGGTTGAAATCCAGCACGTTCTGACAGGTTCTGGAGAACCGGTAGCAGAAATTTTGAGTAATTCGGAGAACCGGCAAACACCACCTCTGGCTGGCCCCAGAGTGGGTGAGAATGGAGATTTTGCAATATCCTTCCCCCAGGAGTGGGGAAGGAATGGGGATTTTGCAGTATCCTTCCCCTGCCACGTCCACCATGCCCACCAAGCCACGCCCACAGAACCAGTAGTAAAAAAATTTGGATTTCACCACTGAGTCAGACCCCATTTGGAATACAGTGTCTAGCTCTGAAGATCTCCCTTAGAAAAAGATATCAATAAGATCGAGGGAGTCCAGAGACTGGCAACAAGAATGGCGCAAGGTCTGAGGGACAAAATGTATCAGGAGAGATTTTGGAGGAACTAAATACAGCTTGGAATACAGAAGGGAAACGGGGGACAGGATTGAAACTTTTAAATATATTAAGGGTGTGAATAAGGTTCTGGAAGGCAGTATTTTCAATATTAGGCAAAGATCAAGAACACGGGGACATAACCTCAAACTGACAGGAGGAAGGTTCAAAAGTAATGTTAGAAAATATTACTTCACAGAAAAAGTAGTGGAAGCATAGAACCAACTTCCAGGAGAGGCAGGGTTGAAATCCAGCAGGTTCTGACAGGTTCTGGAGAACCGGTAGCGGAAATTTTGAGTAGTTCAGAGAAGTGGTAAATACCACCTCTGGCTAGCCCCAGAGTGGGGTGGGAATGGAAATTTTGCAATATTCTTCCCCCAGGAGTGAAGGGATGTGGTGGCTCAGTGGCTAAGATGCTGAGCTTGTCGATCGAAAGGTCGGCAGTTCAGCAGTTCGAATCCCTAGTGCCGTGTAATGGGGTGAGCTCCCGTTACTTGTCCCAGCTTCTGCCAACCTAGCAGTTCGAAAGTACATGAAAAATGCAAGTAGAAAAATAGGGACCACCTTTGGTGGGAAGGTAACAGCATTCTGTGCGCCTTTGGTGTTTAGTCATGCCAGCCACATGACTACGGAGATTTCTTCGGACAGCACTGGCTCTTTGGCTTTGAAACGGTGATGAGCACTGCCCCCTAGAGTCGGGAACAACTAGCACATATGTGCAAGGGGAACCTTTACCTTTACTTATCCACCAGGAGTGGAGAAGGAATGGGGATTTTGCAGTATCCTTCCTCTGGAGTGGGGAGGGAATGGAGATTTTGCAGTATCCTTCCCCTGCCATGCCCACCAAGCCATGCCCACCAAACCAAACCACACCACACCACACCACACCATGCCCACAGAACTGGTAGTAAAAAAATTGAGTTCCACCACTGGGGAGAGGTAATGAGTCAATTATCAATAACTCAGTTTAAACATGGTCGGGATAAACACATGTCCATCATTCGACAAAAATTTAAAAAGGAAAAGGAAAAGAAAAGAAAAGAAAAAGAAAAGAAAAAGAAAAGAAAAAGAAAAAGAAAAGAAAAAGAAAAGAAAAAGAAAAGAAAAGAAAAAGAAAAGAAAAAAAGCTCAAAGGGCAGACTCAATGGACCACTAGGTCTTTTTCTGCCATCAGTTTTCTATATTTCTAGGTCTCTCCAGCTTCTTCTGCTGTCTGTGCCAGGACCGATGATGGGCTTCCTTAGGTAGGAATGAGCTTTTGGATGTAGCAGTTTGAGAAAGAAGCTGCACGGCTGACCTCTTCTGTTTCTTTCCCAGGATCTATTGCTGAAGATCGTTCCTCTGGATTTATGTGGTTGGCCCAAAGCTTCCCAGGTAGAGCCCTTCCCTGTTCTAAGGATCAGAAGCAGTGCCAAGCCAATAGGCTGGGCAGGAAAGGCTACTTCAGGAGTTTCCCTTTAATTTCCTGGTCTAGCCCAATGTTGCAACCTCACTCATTTAAATAGTGCTTCTTTGGCCCTTGTTCAGAAGGGGAAAGGCCACCAGAAGATAGGTACCGTTCCCCTCTTGCTTCTTGCAGAATGTGTAAGGAACTTGTCTCTATAGCTTTCTACCGGGCTGTCTTCACTGAGTTGCTGATTACCGCCATCTATGTCTTTTTTGGTTTGGGGTCCGTTCTGGATTGGCCAGAGACACCTTCCATCCTACAGACTTCTATCACCTTCAACTTGGCAGCAGCCACAGCTGTCCAGATTGCCTGGCAAGCTAGTGGAGCCCACATCAATCCAGCAGTGACTGTAGCCTTCCTGCTTGGCTCTCGTGTCTCATTGGTGAGGACTGTTTGCTATGTGGTGGCCCAGCTGGCTGGAGGAATTGTTGGGGCAGCCATCCTTTATGCGGTGACTCCTGGGAATGTCCGGGGAAATATGGGCATCAACAAGGTATGTTATTCAAGGTTGACTCAGCCTTCCATCCTTTCGAGGTAGGTAAAATGAGGACCCGGTTTGTGGGGGCAATAAGCTGACTTTGTATAAAATAGAACACCACACAGGGGGGGCCAAAAAGCCCTACTAAGCAGGTATATACAAAAAGTATGAAGGCTATTGCTTAATGCATTGTAAACTGCTCTGAGTCTCCGGAGAAGGGCGGCATATATAAATCGAACTAATAAATAAATAAAATAAATATTGAATTGGCATCTTTGACATTTGGCATTTGTCTGGGGAACAGTCCTCAAATAACCTACCAAGTGGTATGTATTCCAGCAAGCGTACCAGGATTGATTGGAGTTGTGGAACTGCCAACCATCAAACAGGGGTGTGGTTGTTAAGGTGTGAAATATTGTCACTGATTGTTTTAGATTACAGAGTGAAGCCTGGCAGATACAAATAGCTACAGTTCTAAGTGAGTCTCTGTAGTGTATATTGGAGGTGGGGACCAGGGGTGAAATCCAGCAGGTTCTGACAGGTTCGGGAGAACCGGTAGGGGAAATTTTGAGCAGTTCGGAGATACCGGAAAATACCAGCTCTGGCTGGCCCCAGAGTGGGGTGGGAATGGAGATTTTGCAATATCCTTCCCCTGCCATTCCCACTAAGCCACACCCACTAAGCCACACCACGCCCACCAAGCCACACCCACAGAACCGGTAGTAAAAAAATTTGGATTTCACCACTGGTGGGGACACTTTGAGAGCTGTAGGCAACAAAATTTCATTTTAATGTACGCCAATTAGTGTACATTCAAAGTGACAATAAAGTTATTCTAAGTCTAAGTCAATCACTGATGGGATATCCTCTTACAGAAGTGACTTCTTACAGAAGGCTGTGCAAAGCATGTTCTTTTTGGGTTTACTTGGAAATTATTGGGCGAGGGAAGCTGATTATGATTTAAAATGAAGAGAAAGGATTAGCTGGAATGATGGTTTGGTGGAAGAGTCCAATGGGAAGGGCTTTAGAAGAAACTGGCAGTACGTTAGAACAAAAAGTCGAAGTGTCCTGAAATTAATTGCAACAGGAATTGAATTATAAAATGGCTTCATGGTGGCTATAATAACACATAATTCCATTTTTTATAAAAAATGGTTATTGTCACGATTGAGGGTATCTAGTGGAAACAGAATGGGTAGAAGCAGGGTGTACAGCAGGAATGGGTGACTTCATACAATCACAGCCACCAATTCATCCCACTTTGCCGTACGGACTCCCCAGATTGGGTTGACAAAATTAACTGGAAAATGGTCAGTTTTCATAGCATGGTTTATAGCAGAAGTCCTCAAACTTGGCAGCTTTAAGACGTGTGGACTTCAACTCCCAGAATTCTCCAGCCAGCATAGCAGAAATTAAAGGTCAGAGAAGGTCATTTCTTCTGAAAGTGTGGAAAGTCCCAAAGAGCTACCCCAAAAAAGGACTGAAGATCTTCAGTCTTGGTTGTAACTCTCCACTTGGTTGTAACTCTGGATCACTGATGCATTCCCTGCAAATCTCAGGGAAGCCAAAATATAAGACAGGGAAGGAAAAGCTAAGACTGAAAAGGATTGCCCATGCTTGGACAATAACAATTAGAAAGGGAGATTCAGGCCCCCAGGTATATCCACTCTAAATTCTAAGATGGGGAAGGATAAGAATGTGGCAGCAAATAAGGGAATATTATAATATTATAAAAAGAATGGGCAGAGCAGAGGGACAAGTACATTACTTTGGGTTCATTCATATAATGGGTAGATGGTAGGGCCAAGGACAAGGGAGACTGAGGCTGATCCAAATGAGTTTGCCTCAACATGAGTACCACTTACTGATTCTCAGTGACTGGAAGGCATGTTATTGTCTTCTACTCACTATTGGCCCGCTGGGAAATTAACCTCCACCCATATTATCCTGCTTGATATAAAGGGTATTTTTCTTCTACTTTGTTGCCTAGTTTGCCTGCTGTGCTTCGTTGCATTGTAAGAGAATCCCTTCGCCTATGTACTAAGTGAGAAATGGCCCTTCTCGCCATCCAGTTACTGGATCTTGAACAACTCCATATCCTTCAACCTTTTTCCACGGTGGTTTTGTAAATGAAGGAAATGTGGAATTTATCTTCAACAAATAATTGAGCAGATCAGAGGTTGGAGTTTTGCAGCAGGAACTTGTTAGGTTATAGTTCAGCAATATCTAGAGTTATCGGGTCCTGAGTTGACAAGGTGGGAGGTGCAACTATTTAACAAGTGAAAGAGTGGATCAAAGGGGGCAGTTTTGGGGGGAGGGAAGTAGAACTAAATGTCATTATATCCATGTATTAGGAATGAATCTGTATAAGCTCTTCCATGCTTATGGAGAACGAAAGAGACTAAAAGAACAGGAGCCCAGAGAATGCAGAGAATCTTTCCTGGAAATAGATTGATTGATGGATTATGTGCTGCCAAGTCATTGTTAACTCCTAGCAAGCACATGGATAGATTTTCTCCATGATGATCCCTAACCTGACCTTTCAACTCTTCCAACATAAACAGAGTGAGCGTTGTAAGATTTACATTGGTACTATGTAATCAGAAGTGAAGACATTGGTGTGGGGGCCTCCTGCAGCTCTGGAAGTAGCCTGCCCTTGAATTAGGTAGGAAGGATCATCTCTTTCCAGTTGCACCTAAGCATGGCATCAACAACATGTTTGTTGTGTTGTGCAGCCTTCTTTAAGAGGATGTACCTGAAAGGCTGCTTTCAGCACCAACTGAGTGAAATAGGCTGCAATCTGTCTTTGCTAATCATTCTAATCTAATCAACTAATTAAGGAGAAACTAATCAACCAATTAGCTAATCAAGGAGAGAAGCAACCTAGAGCGAAGGAGAAATTTCCAGACATTTGGAACAATTAATTAGTGGAACATCTTGCCTCCAGAAATTGTGGATGCTCCAACGCTAGAGGTTTTTAAGAAGAGCCTTTTGTCTGAAATGGCATAGGGTTTCCTGCTTGAGCAGGAGGTTGGACTAGGTTAGAAGAACTCCAAGGTCCCGCCTAACTCTGTTCTTCTGTTAACTGTACTGGTGTTAAATTAGTCTTTCCCCCCCTTAAGCTGGCAACATACAATAGCAGCCATAAGGTAGGTAAAAATCAGTTTGGGTTCGCCAGCCATTGCTATACATTTATTTATTTATTTATTTATTTTATTTTTCATATTTGTATACCGCCCTACTCCCGAAGGACTCAGGGCGGTGAACAGCCATAAATAAATACAAAGACATATAAAAGTTAAAAACTATTAAAAAAATAGATTAAATAATTTAGGCTCAAAAATTAAAACATCCAAATTTATCTAAAAGAGATCTAAACCCCGATTTAAAAGCCAATTTAAAAGCCAATTTAAAAGGGAGAGTTAGGCCAGACCAGCCTGTTGGAATAGAAACGTTTTCAGGGCACGGCGGAAGATGTGTAAGTCTTGGATCCTTCGTAACTCCGGGGGGAGCCCGTTCCAGATGGCAGGTGCCCCCACAGAGAAGGCTCTCCCCCTGGGGCCCGCCAGTCGACATTGTTTGGCCGACGGCACCCCGAGGAGCCCCTCTCTATGGGAGCGAACTGGTCGGTGAGAGGCTATTGGTGGGCAGGAGGCGGTCTCGTAAGTACCCTTTGAGACCCAGTCAGGTGAGCAGCAGTAAGTCAGTTCAAAATGGCGTTTGTGTGTTTCTGGCTGGTTTTATTACCACCACATTGCTGTTGCACCAGTGTTGCCTGATGGCGCTCTACTGCTCAGCCAGCAGGGCTGTAAATGCTTTAACTCTGATGGGTTTAGTGCAGGCTGAAGTACTGAAATAGTAGAATGAAAAAGTCCCATACTGCATGTGCCTAATCAGGACGATATAATTGAGCAATAAATCACAACAGGATAGGGATTGGCCATGAGCACAGCCCGTATTTCTTTAGTGTGGATTTAAGAAAGGGTGGGGAATACCTGGTTGCAATAGTGGGGAAAGTCCCAGAATCAGCTGTACGAAAGGCAGCAACACCGTCAAGGACACTAAGCCACTGAGATTTTTATATTTGGACAATGATTAGTTAGTATCTGTCATTCAATACCTCCCCCCTCACTTCAATATTTTGTTTGCCTATACACTAAAGAGCTTCTGATAAACTATGACCAGTGGTGAAATCTGAACCGGTTTGCTACCGGTTTGCTGGCCGTGCATGCGTGCCAAGCGCACGCTGTGCATGCACATACACAGTGCACATCAAAATGTGTGCTGTGCATGTGTGCATGCGCAGTATGCACTAAAAGGAGGCTTGGGAAGGTAACTAGAACAGCAAGGGGGGATCAGCTGTGCCGCGCGATTTAGCTTTGCTAGAAAGCAGGATTTCCTGCTTTCTAGCAAAGCTAAACCGCGCGGCACAGCTGATCGTCAGAAATACCGGTTCGGATGAGTTTTTATCACTACCAGTTCACCCGAACCGGTCGCATTTCACTCCTGACTATGACGATCTAAATTGGTATGTGTTGGGAAACACTCAGCCAAAAGGAAGGAGGGATTAAGCAGGGAATTAGCCTTGAGTTGTAAGAGAGCCAGGACTGACCACCACCCCTTCCCCAAGCTCCAAGGAATCTTCTCTGTCTGTTCCCAAGGGAAGACAAGCAGTCTGTGGAGAGTACTGTATTATAGGCAGAATACAGCACAGGAACTTGAATGCTACACATGTGGATCTGGTCACGTGCCTGACAATATGTGTGATACTGTACTTTGAGGTAACAGCAAATCTGAAAAATCTGAAATACTAATGATGCCCAATCTGCATAAACATTGCATAAATATTCCTCCCCCAGCAAATATCACATCTAGTGAGAAAACATCTATCAATCCTGTTTTTAATGTGGGCAGGAGATGGGGGTGAGAGGAGGCAGTTTTTGATAAATGGCCAGACCAGCAGGTTTAGCCTTCTGTTAATATCTTAAACTAAATAGCAGTGAACCTTCTTTTTTTCCTAGCATTTAGCTGAAATGATTAAAAACTAATACAAACTAAAAGAAGGAAAAAAGAGGGAAATAAAACCCTAGAGTGCAAAAAAAGAAGAAAAAGGTTACAATAAAAATAAAAATAAATGTTATAAACAAGTAGTTTCTGATTATTAGAGCAGCGGTTTTGAAAAGTCACTTTCAATTTGTAGCGAGGACTGGAGCCTCTGGCTCCACCCTAACCTCAAGACATCCGAAGAGGGATAGACGAAAAACGTTTTTCATTTTTGTTTCTTTCCCAAACTTTCACCTTTTGATAATCCATAGTTAATCTCAATTTTCATTTTCTTGTCAGATGTCAAGAATTAATTTCACACTTCAGCCACTCTGAATTTGGACTACGCTTGTGGGATAGGAATATTTCTCAGCTACAAGAGAACAGAGTCTATTAAAAAGCAGAAACAGTTGTGTTGACTAGGAGGAATAAAGATTCCCTATTACAGCAATGTAATACAGCAATGTGGCTCAGTGGCTAAGACGCTGAGCTTGTCGATCGAAAGGTCGGCAGTTCAGCGGTTCGAATCCCTAGTGCCACTTAATGGGGTGAGCTCCCATTACTTGTCCCAGCTTTTGCCAACCTAGCAGTTTGAAAGCACGTAAAGAATGCAAGTAGAAAAATAGGGATCACCTTTGGCGGGAAGATAACAGCATTCCATGCACCTTTGGCGTTTAGTCATGCCAGCCACACACCATGGAGACGTCTTCGGACAGCGCTGGCTCTTTGGCTTTGAAATGGAGATGAGCACCCCCCCAGTGGTGGGTTTTAAATTTTTTTACTACCAGTTCTGTGGGTGTGGCTTGGTGGGTGTGGCAGGGGAAGGATACTATAAAATCTCCATTCCCTCCCCACTCCAGGGGAAGATTACTGCAAAATCCTCATTTCTTCCCGATCAGCTGGGACTTGGGAGGCAGAGAACAGATGGGGGTGGAGCCAGTCAGAATTTTTACTACCAGTTCTCCAAACTACTCAAAATTTCCACTACCAGTTCTCCAGAAGTGGTCAGAACCTGCTGAAACCCACCTCTGCACCGCCCCCTACAGTCAGGAATGATTAGCACATATGTGTGAGGAGAACCTTTACTTTTATTATAGCAATATCATACTAGGCCAAAGAGCTATTCCAAAACATGAACAAACTTCTGAGTTCGTAAAATTTCTCCATTGAGCAAATGGGGGAAGACACAACTGATGTTTATGCCAGGGATACTATACCTGGGCTCTGAAAATCTGGAGGACAGCTAGAGGACAGCAAAATCATAGATTTTTCTGTATCTCTTGGCTGCCATTTATAGACTCATCTCCATGATAGTAATAAAGAGCAGGAGTTGGCACAAAGCTCCCTAGCATAAAAACTGTGCTTTCAGACCCTGTCAAAGCAGAATGAGGTTTTCTCCCAGTAGAAGCAGGGAGAAGGAAAGAGGTGGGCTTGGGAATGCCTCTCTTGGGGCCAATTACTGGCAGCCGAAGACTCTCAGAGTTAAATCAGTTGTGGAATCAGAGAACTGGCACTCAAGGAACCACTCACTCTCCTCTTCCCCTGCACTTTTCCTACTGAGCATGGCAAGAAATTTGGGGGACAGGGCGGAAGTAAGAAAAATGGGCCTTCCTGCCAATTTTGAACCTTTACAAAGCAATTACTCTGTGGGACTGGACCAGAGGTGGGGAACAATGGCCCCTTTAGGACTTGTGGACTTCAACTCCCAGAATTCCTGAGCCAGCATGGCTGGATTATGAATTCTGGGAGTCAAAGTCCACAAGTCATAAAAGGGCCATTGTGTTCCCCCCCCACCCAGTAGACAATTGGAAGCAAAGGAGCTGTTCTCCCCACTTTCTCTCCCTACCCATTTCCCTGGCCACCCATAGGTAAAGAAATAGGGTCAGAGCAGTCAGTTCTCCAGGCACCAAAAAGCCCCTCCCAAATGGTCATGATCTGACATTTAGAAACATTGAACTGCAGTTTCCACATGTTTTACCCATTTTCCAGCAATGCCAAATTGTTTTCCATGTTACGAAAAAAAAAAAACCCTGGAACATCAACTTAATTACATTTTTGAATGACATTTTTGTGTCATCAACAAAAAGACATACCTTACCTAGCAATCCTTCTGTTATAACATTTACAAACACACTGAGCAGAACAGGACCTGGGACTGATCCTTGTGGTACACCATGTGTGATTGGTCTTTATTCAGACAGACCTCCATTAACAATTATCCACTGGGGATCTATCTCTGAGCCAATTTCCTATCCACTGAACTACCCAGTGATTAAGCCCTAGACCCGTGATGGTGAACCTATGCATGCCACCACGTGTGCCAGTGGTGGCACGCAGAGCCCTTTCTGCTGGCATGTGCACCCAGGTCAGATCTCTGTGGTGTTTTTTTTATGAGCTTCTGTTTCCCTGCAAATGACGAAATGGAAGCTCACGAAAGAAAAAGATCTTACCTCTTGCCGCGTTGCTGGTGTTGGGATGCCGGCCAGCTGCTCTTCAGGTCTCTGCTGCGCATGTGCACACATGCACCTTTCAGTCTGGGCATGCATGTGCGTGCAGTTTGGGCAGTCAGTGTCTAAAAGGTTCACCATCACTGCCCTAGCCAGTATAACCTTTTTATGAGCTCATTATGGGAATTGTATCAAATGCTTTGCTAAAATCAAGATAAGCTATGTCCACAGCACCACCTTTGTCCCAAACATTTGTGACATAGACTTTAAAAAAGAAGTCAGATTAGCCATCCCATTTCTGACAAGCCAAGTCAGTTGAAGAACTGGAAGGAAGTCTCAAGTTGCAACCCGCTCTGATGTTGTGCTTAGTGATGGTGACAGATTTGCTTTCACAACCACGGTGGAATAGACATAGGTGGAGCACGGTGATGTGATGTTTCACTTAATGCCTGTGTCATTTAGCAACAGAGCTGTTCGTCCCAATTTCGGTCGATAATGGAGGACTACCTGTAGAAAGACAATATGCATCATGCAAAAGAGGACAGGACTAATATTGCATAGTTGCAGCTACCATCTTAATCTTTTTTAACCTCCTCTCTGTAGACACGGCTGCACCCAGGGATTGGCAAGAAAAGCTAAAGAGATGGTCTTTGAGCACAGTAGAAGTATTCTGGTTTCCTGGTCTCGAAAGGCAAACAGTCATGAAAACTGTAGGGATGTGATTACAGCAGGGCTCAGCCTTAATATGACGCACTTCAGATGGAGCAGACATTTGCCAGAAGCTGGAAAACATCAGTTTATAACTTTAAAAAAAAAGAGGAAAGTTTAGAGTCCTTTTCAGCTGATCAGGGATGACTTCTGGCTTCCCCTATTGGAGAAATATAAAAGCCAGCTGTTAAATTCAAACATTTTTCCATCTAGAACCACCTGAACAGAAATATACATCTGTTGTGATCTAGGCTTCCTGAGTCATTAAAACACATGAATAGTCCCAAAAACTTCTTTTATTGTAACAGTTGTGAATTACGTTCATTCACAGCTGAGTCCCAGTTAGCTGCAAAAAGTCCTTCGGGAGAAGTTCTTCGGGATAATCACCAACCTTTATCTCCCTTGACACGCTGCTAAAGATCTATTTGGCAAAGCCACACGGCATCCAGAATCAAACAGAGATGCCGACTGGGAACAGAATTAACAACGTTGCTTTCCTGCAAAGGGCCCACGTGCCTTTGCTCCTTTTTTAAATCTTATGGGAGGGGCCAATCATCTCCAGGCCTTACTCCAGAGTCATCTGTTTTGTTTTAGCTGTTCTTGCCTTCTGGCAGCTCTGTGCATGCGCACACTAGGAACAGGCTCCTCCTGTTCCTCTGTGTCCCTGATGTCCAACTCAGGAGGCTCTGGAGTCCACGCATAACTCCCAGATCACCCTGGCCCCATCTCTGCCTCCGACGCAGAGCCCTCGTCTGAGCCTTCCCCAGACTCCAGGACTGGCCCATGTTCCTCCCCAGCTTCCTCAATGTCCAATGCAACTCCACTGCCAGCTCCGCAGGCTGCTGGCGGACTACAACAACATCCTTCAGGCTTCTCCCCATAAATGTTGAGATAGGAGATAATCCCCAATGAAGTGTTGGCATAAAAGGAATTCTGCTGTTGATGACAAAGTGCTTTGTATTGAACTTTAGGGGGTCCTGCATTTGCATAACCTAAAACCTCTATAATAATCCTTTTTTCCAGGCAGAGAAGATGCCAGCCATATGCTTAAAGCCTCCTTCACCGTTGTTTCCTTCTCTGCCCTAGGTAAACATCAATATTTCAAATGGACAAGCTGTTGCAGTTGAGCTCATCTTGACCCTACAGTTGGTTCTGTGTTATTTTGCATCCACAGATACACAGCGCAGTCCGGGCTCCCCTGCTGTCATCATTGGCATCTCAGTTGCCCTGGGCCACTTGGTTGGGGTGAGTAAATTAAGAGACGCTGAGAAAGATAAGCGCAAGGGTAGGGCTACCAGAACTGACTGATGATTACTTGAGAGTGGAAAACCCACACCTGGGAGCCCTAAGCAAGACAGACTTGGCTTTATTTTGTTTAAAATATTAGAGGCAAGCTTTTAAAATGATAGAGAGTGGCTCTTTGGAGGGAATAGGCATTCAAAGCAAAATAGAAATCAATGTTGGAAATAAAAGAGAGAATACGCCCAAGCCATCATTAGCCAGATAAAGCTGAGAACTCTTAAAAACCAGGAAGAAAGGATTAATGCAACATATATTGTTTTAACTGCCTTGTAAATACCCCGAACTGGGTGCAGCTGGACTGGATTCTTGGCTGCAAAGTTTGTATAATGTAAAAATGTCAGGGGTGTTTTGGGGAGAGCATTTGAAATTAGCTAGCGGATCCTATGGCGAGCAACATTCTAAGCTTGTACAACTGTGCTCATAGATAATCCCACTACAGTGGGTGGTGTGATGCTGCACAACTGACATCACAAAGCTCAGAGGACACCCCTATTGGGCAAATATTTTACCCAGGCAATAGCCTGCCTCCAGCAAATGAGACATTTTAGAGGAAAGGACACTAGTAGTGGCTGCTTGAACCAAAGAACTTCCAGTCTTCAACATCAGTTGAACATCAGTTACACAAGCATTTCCCGCCAGCATTTTGTTCTATATGGATTCTATCCCAACTCTGTACAGGTAGTCCTCGACTTACAACAGTTCATTTAGTGACCGTTCAAAGTTACAATGACACTGAAAAAAGTGACTTATGCCCGATTTTCGCATTTATGACCTTTGCAGCATCCGTATGATCAAGTGATCAAAATTCAGACCCTTGGGCACCTGGTTTGCATTTATGACGGTTGGCAGTGTCCCAAGGTCATGTGATCCCCTTTTGTGACCTTCTGACAAGCAAAGTCAATGGGCAAGCCAGATTCACTTAACAACCCATGTGACCAATTTATCAACTGCAGTGATTCACTTAATAACTGTGGCAAGAAAGGTCGTAAAATGGGGCAAAACTCACTTAAGAAATGTCTCACTTAACAACAGAAATATTGGGCTCAATTGTGGTCATAAGTCGAGGGCTACCTGTAGTTGTTTGGACTACAGTGAGGAAAAAAAATGGAAGTGCAACATTAAAACAGGTTGTGAAAATATTTACAGACCCCTCGCATCCTGGACATAAACTGTTTCAACTCCTACCCTCAAAACGACGCTATAGAGCACTGCACACCAGAACAACTAGACACAAGAACAGTTTTTTCCCGAATACCATCACTCTGCTAAACAAATAATTCCCCCAACACCATCAAACTATTTACTAAGTCTGCACTACTATTAATCTTCTCATCGTTCCTATTACCCATCTCCTCCCACTTACGACTGTATGACTGTAATTTTGTTGCTTGTACCCTTACGATTTATATTGATATTGTTTCCTGATTGCTTATTTGTACCCTATGACTATCATTAAGTGTTGTACCTTATGATTCTTGACGAATGTATCTTGTCTTTTTATGTACACTGAGAGCATATGCACCAAAGACAAATTCCTTGTGTGTCCAATCACACTTGGCCAATAAAGAATTCTATTCTATTCTATTCTATTCTATTCTATTCTATTCTATTCTATTCTATTCTATTCTATTCTATTCTATTCTATTCTATTCTATTCTATTCTATTCTATTCTATTCTATTCTATTGTGAATGGGACCTCTACAAGAGCTGACTTTCCTAATGCTTTCTTCCAATTTCCCCTTTCCAGCATTACTACACTAGATGCTCCATGAATCCAGCCAGATCCTTTGGTCCTGCTGTCATAACTGGGAATTTTCATCAGCAGTGGGTAAAAACCCTCTTCTTTCTGTATCCTCATCCCCCATTATTCCAGGGTGTTGGTGGAAGAAAAGTGGGGTAAAGAATTATCCAATTGGCCAAATCATGAAAGCCTGTATATTGGTAGGATTTAATTGTATGCACTATGAATCCCAGGAGCAACTGGACTGGTCTGGGATTATAAAAAAAAACAAAAACAAAAATGAGCAATCTGTATTACAAGTCCACAAGCTTCTTTGCACCTCCCATAGAGTGCTACTTAACTTTAACTTAAATCTGCAAGGACTTACTGGCAGGTATTTGGGGGGAGCCTCTCATGGGATTTTAAGTAGCAAGGCTACAATGCTTCTCAGAACTACTTTCCACTCTTACTGATCAGGATTTTGTTTAGACACCTTAACTGTAGCTCAGTCTGGCAACAGGAGCCTGAGTGGCGTAGGAGGCTAATGCCTCCTACTAAGGCAGCATTTAACATCCAGCTGCCTGCAATTACTGCGAGTTCAATTCTCACCAGGCTCAAGGTCGACTCAGCCTTCCATCCTTTCTAAGGTAGGTAAATTGAGGACCCAGTTTGTGGGGGCAATAAGCTGACTTTTTAAAAATATACAAAAGTATGAAGGCTATTGCTTAACGCACTGAAAGCCGCCCTGAGTCTCCGGAAAAGGGCGGCATATAAAAATAAATATTTTTTTTTTTAAAAACTGTATTTTAAAGCTGGGAGGTGATAGACATCTTCTGGTTGCATATGGCAGACCAGTTTTGGTCTCACCCTGTTCCTAAGATTAAAGTCAGGAGGCAACATCCTGGAGGCTGCATAAATAGCTTCAGCTGCTGGCATGAAGAATAGGGGTAACCAGCTGTGGGCCACAGAATTCCAGATTTTCCCTATAAGTGGCAGCAAAGAGATATAAAACTCCCTGTAAATCTTTGCTGCCCTCTGGTGTTGGTCTGTGTGGTTGCTAGCAGCAAAAAAAAAAGCAGTAAAAAAAATATCACATAATCAAGTAAAAAAACACATATCCTTACTTCCTAGAGGGGCTACAACAGTGGTGGGTTCCTCCCGGTTCGGCCTGGTCGGCCGAGCCGGTAGCGGTGACGATATGACGTCACCGAACTGGTTTTCTTTGTTCGGGAGCTGGGCCCTCCTGCCCCCTCTGTTATTCTTATCTTTTATTTGGCCCCGCCCCCAATCTATTTGCTGCCTCCCGAGTCACAGCTGATCTGCTAGAAGGAAAAAAACTGTTTAAACTCTTGCCATGGGGCTTCAAAGGGCACCCTACAGCTGATCAGTGTTAAAAGGCAGTGTGGTGGTAGACCAGGGTGCTCGAAAAACAAATGGGTAGACCGGTGCCTCCAAAAACAAATCAGTAGACTGGAGCCTCCAAAACAAATGGGTAGACCAGTACCTCCAAAAACAAATGGGTAGACCGGTACAGCTCTGCAAGCAGTTAAAAGCCTGGTAGAATAGTACCTCTGCTAAATCCTAAAGAATTATCACATAACCATCAAACCACGCCCATAAAATAAGCCACACCCACAGAACCAGTAGTAAAAAATTTTAGAACCCACCCCTGGGCTACAAATAGGCTCTCTCTTACTCCTGGAGGGTTGGTGCAGTGGTGGATTTCAAATTTTTTTACTACCGGTTCTGTGGGCGTGGCTTGGTGGGCGTGGCATGTCTTGGTGGGCGTGGCATGGCTTGGTGGGCATGGCAGGGGAAAGATACTGTAAAATCTCCATTCCCTCCCCAATCCAGGGGAACGTTACTGCAAAATCCCCATTTCCTCCCAATCAGCTGATACTCGGGAGGCAGAGAATAGATGGGGGTGGGGCCAGTCAGAGGTGGCATTTACCGGTTCTCCGAACTACTCAAAATTTCCACTACTGGTTCTCCAGAACTGGTCAGAACCTGCTGAAACCCACCTCTGGCTTGGTGCCCTACAGAAGACAGGAGTCATGCCTAGAACATTTCTATCCCAAAACACAAACGCTGACATTATTTTTCTTAGGCCAGGTTCACTTCCTTTCAAACCATAGCAATAGAGCTGCCTAAGAAATGTTGCTGCTTGAGTCAGAAATGGGATAGTCTATATCTCGTCTATCCCTCCCCATTCCACATGCAAAAGCTAACTGGATTAGCAGTTAAATCCTTCTTCAATATTGACAGTGAAGCCCTACAGTCTTTTCAGGCAACAGGCTGGCTTAAGAGAGGCATGGAGCTAACAGCATAGCTTTCGTCTTTTAATTTTCCCTTCCTAGCCTTTTCCTCCTAGGTGATTACTCTGTTTTGCTTAATGTAGAGCCACCTGGGAGTAACATACTCAAGCTGCCTGCCACCAACTTGGCAGGGTTCTAGTTGCAGATGTGGTTATTCACAGAAGTTTCTGACCTTGGAAGTTTTCAGGATGGGATGAATTAAGATGGAAAATGTAAGGACAGAACTAAGTGGAGAGAGAAGTTGTAGATCTAACTTCCTTTTATTTTCTTGTCATTTACTTCCATTTTAACCTTGATAGTAGCTTATGGCTTTAAAGCAAGCCCTTCCCACTTTGCATATCCAGCTCTCCTTAAAGGAGCTTAAAGCTGAATTCAGTCAGCAGGCATTTAAATTTAGCTTCCCTCAGTTAAAGCCGGTGCTCCATTTGATACTGAATTCTGACTCTGGGAGATCTTCAGGAATGGGAGTTTGAACATTTCCTGACTTTGATCTTGCCAAAAAGACACAGTCCATCTAGACTAGTGTTTCTCAAATGTGGCATCTTTATGGACTTCACCATGGCTGGTTGGAGGATTCTGGGAGTTGAAATCCACACATCTTAAAGTTGAGAAATGGTCTAGAAAGATCAGGGGTATCAAACTCACATCATCATGTCCTCATCATGTGACATATTGCGACTTCCCCCCCCCCCTTCGCTAAACCGGGGTGGGCGTGGCCAGTACATGACGCATCCCGCCCTCAGGCCACGAATTTGACACTTCTGGTCTAGATCACAGTATCATACGCCAGGGTTTTTTGTTTTCACTTAATGATGAATTTCGAGTCCTCGTTGTGTAAAAATCTTTGATGTACTTCAGCATTTTGCTGAAAGGATTCAGAAAACGGGACAGGTTCATTCCATTTTTGCCCGGCCTTTATTTACATGGTCCATCTTATCTTAGTTTATATCTGTCTTTAGATAGGGTAAGCTGTCTTTCTCTGATACACAGCTATCTCACTCACGTGGATTGCTAATCAGTTCTACAGCAGCTTTCAACAGAAGATGTCACAACATTGGAAGAGATGGATTGATTCACATTGCAGGACATAACAGTCCCGATCAGGAATGTCTACAGATCACAATCAAAAAAGTCAAGACAGCAGTCACAATGGTGATGGAAGCTCTGCCCAGTTTTTGTATGCATTGCATATATGGTGCACATACAAAATTAAGGCATTCCGTCCTCATTGTTGCCATCACCTTGACTTTTCTGACCATGCCAGCTGTGATCCTGGTTGTAGATGTTAAAGGCTGTAGTGACCTAGGTTCTGATTCCAAGGCAGAGAAAAGGAATTAAATCTTGGAAAACCATGAGAGAAACGAATGTGATCTAGTAACCCAGGTTCAATTCACTTCAGTTGGACTTCTAAAGATGTTGCAGCTTCTTTGGCTCAGAGCTCCTGACTTTGGGACAAATAGGGTTGTTATTTTTAGGTCAACTGATGACAAGTCGTCCTTGTGCTGACTTATCTCTGATCTTTCCTTACAGATCTTCTGGGTGGGCCCCTTAATTGGCGCGGTCTTGGCATCTGTCCTTTACAACTTTGTTATTTACTACGACCCTAAGCCCTTCAGCCAGAGACTGTCCATTCTCAAAGGCAGCTATGATGGAGAAGAGCTGAAGAAGCAGGAGGAGAATGCTCAGAAAGAAGCGCTGTCATTGCCCAGTCTGGTGCATAGACTGTAGCCTCTTCAGTCTCCGTGGAGAGGAACTTAAGGATGGGCTCAACAAGAGATGGATCTGTGGGTGGTGATCCCACAACCAGCCGCTAGAGGGCTCCAGGCGCCTTTCCTCTGAAGTCTTGACTTGCCATGTGGATTTTGTTACATTCACATCAAGAGGCGCCTTGCAGGAGCTGGTCCTTTGTTGCCTTGTGATTGGAAGCTGCCATGTGGGTATCTTAAGTGCTCTATTCAGAAAATTAAAAGAGCTACTTTCAGAATAAAGCGAATATGAACTTGACAGCTATGAACTGCAGTGCCAAATGAGCGGCTTGCTTGAGGTTTAAACTTGTCTTTTTCTAGGCAGATTTTTTTTCCCCAGAGGATAAGCAAAAGTTACTTGGATAAATAGCCTGGAGCAGGGGTGAAATCCAGCAGGTTCTGGCAGGTTCTGGAGAACCGGTAGCGGAAATTTTGAGTAGTTCAGAGAACCGGCAAATGCCAGCTCTGGCTGGCCCCAGAATGGGGTGGGAATGCAGATTTTGCAATATCCTTTCCCAGGAGTGGGGAGGGAATGGGGATTTTGCATTTTCCCATTTATTTATTTAGTTAGTTCAATTTATATGCCGCCTTTCTCCGGAGACTCAGGGCAGCTTACAATGCATTTAAAAAACCATTATAAAAACATTTAAAAATTAAAACATTAAAACCCATTTACAACATTCATGGCCGGATCTCACAAGATCGCAACAGCGAGATCAACGAGAGCCTTGGTAGTACAGTGGTCTAAAGCACCCTGTTATTAAGACCAGCTGCCTGCAATTACTGTAGGTTCGAATCTCGCCAGGCTCAAGGTTGACTCAGCCTTCCATCCTTTCTAAGGTAGGTAAATTGAGGACCCAGTTGTGGGGGCAATAAGCTGACTTTGTATAAATATACAAAAGGATGAAGGCTATTGCTTAGCGCATTGTAAGCCGCCCTGAGTCTCCGGAGAAGGGCGGCATATAAATCAAATTAAAAAATAATAATAATAAAACAGCCCCAGGCCTGCCGGAAAAGCCAGGTCTTCACTGCTTTTCGGAAGGCCAATAGGGTGGGGGTGGTCTGGACCTCAGGAGGTAACTGGTTCCAGAGAGCTGGGGCTGCCACAGAGAAGGCCCTCCCCCGCGGACCTGCCAGCCGGCATTGTTTAGCTGCCGGGACCCGGAGGACACCACATCTGTGGGATCTTACCGGTTGCTGGGAGCTATGTGGTAGAAGGCGGTCTCGAAGATAACCTGGCCCTGAGCCATGTAGGGCTTTAAAGGTAATAACCAGCACCTTGAATTGTGCCCGGAGACCAATAGGGAGCCAGTGCAGCTCGCGGATAAGTGAATCATGCAGTTGTTAAGCAAATCTGGCTTCCTCCAGATTCCAACTTCGTTTGTCAGACACCGGCTGGGGAAGTTACTGTGCAACTGGCACCTAAGACGAAGCTACCTCTTAGCCACCAGTGCTTGAGCTCAACTCCTGGTGGCTTACAATTTCCATGGATTTTTTTTTTTTTTAAACTTCCCAGGTCTGGATCTGTCCACTGGTTCTCCATCTGCATTAACCAGGCTCAACTCCTAGCTCCCAAAGTCAGTCCGAGGGTTTGCTGGATGTTGCTGAGTGCTCATCTCTTCGAATTAGCTCATTCAAGGGCACTTTGTGGACTGTCAATTTATGACAGATGGTTTCCAGAAACAGTGATGATCCCAGAGCTCGTGAACTTTTGACTATGTAATGGGATGGAGAGAAAAAAACTCCCAGCGCACTTTAAGCTCAATATAAACGTTTCATTTGAGTCAAGTCTGTCAGCATTCCATTTCACAATGACATAACACTCACGGCTTTCATTAAAAAGGGATATCAGATTGTGGTTCTTTTGAAAGCCGGTGATTCACCTCTCGGCTCGGGACAGTAGCTGAGCATTTTCTTAGACAAGGAAACCAAGGGAATCCGACATTCGGCAGATACCAAATACAGGTAGTCCTCGACATACGACCGCAACTGAGCCCAAAATGTATGTTGCTAACTGAACATTTGTTAAGTGAATCTTGCCCCATTTTACAACCTTTCTTGCTATCATTGTTAAGTGAATTGTTGCAGTTGTTAAGTTAGTAGCACGGTTGTTAAGTGAATCTGGCTTGCCCACTGAATTTTGCTTTCTTAGAAGGTCGCAAAAGGTGATTATATAACCCCGGGACACTGCAACCGTCATAAATATGAATCAGTTGCCAAGCATCTGACGTTTGATCATGTAACCATAGAGATGGTGCAAGGGTTGTAAGAGTGAAAAACAGTCATAAGTCACTTTTTTCTGTGCTGTTGTAACTTTGAACCAGTGGTAGGTTGCCCCCGGTTTGGACCGGTTCGCAAGAACCGGTAGTAAAACCGGCAGGAGGCCACACCCACCACCCTGGATGTCGTCATCAGCAATCTGCGCATGTGCAGAAGTGAACCGGTAGTAAAGGTAAGTAGAACCCACCCCTGCTTTGAACGGTCACTAAATGAACTGTTGTAAGTTGAGGAGTATTTGTAGTCTAAGCTTTATGTTATTTATTTCCAGACCATTGTTCACCCCAGGAGCTATGGGGTGCCTAGTTTTTCCCTTCACTAAAACCTGCACAATCCTACAATCTAGGTGGGCTAGAATGAGAGAGGCAATCGGCATTCCAGGGCTATTGAGTGAGCTGGGATCTGAACTCAAATCCCAGGTTCAGTGGTGAAATCCATTTTTTTTTTTACTATCGGTTCTGTGGGTGTGGCTTGATGGGCGTGGCAGGGGAAGGATACTGCAAAATTTCCATTCCCACCCCACTCTGGGGCCAGCCAGAGGTGGTATTTGCCAGTTCTCCGAACTACTCAAAATTTCCGCTACCGGTTCTCCAGAACCTATCAGAACCTGCTGGATTTCACCCCTGCCCAGGTTCTAGTTTGACATTCTCATTTCTTTTATAGCTCTCATTAGAGTTTAAGAAAAACAAATCACAGTTAATGTTTAAAGGTCAACTTAACTCGCTCAGCCAATATATTCTTAAATTCTCTCAAATGTATGACACGGGTCTCTAATAAAAGTGTACACAAAAAAGGAATTGCCTGACATGCTCCCTTTCGGTTCCTGCAGGCCCGTCGTAGCTACATATTATCTAGGGATTTTGAAGAACAGGTAGTCCTCGACTTACGACCGCAATTGAGCCCAAAATGTATGTGGCTAAGCGAGACAGCGGTTAAATGAGTCTTGCCCCATTTTACAGTCTTTCTTGCCACAGTGGCTTAAGTGAATCCCTGCAGTTGATAAGTGACACGGTTGTTAAGTGAATCTGGCTTCCCCATTGACTTTGCTGGTCAGAAGGTCGCTAAAGGGGATCACATGACCCCGGGACACTGCAACCGTCATAAATATGAGTCAGTTGCCAAGCGTCTGAATTTTGTTCACATGACCATGGAGATGCTGCAAAAAACGGACATAAGTCACTTTTTTCTGTGCCATTGTAACTTCGACCTGTCGCTAAATGAACCATTGTAAGTCGAGGACTACCTGTACTCTGTCAGGAGAGTGTCCCGCTGATAGATTAAAATGCTGTCCTAAATAAAATAGTTTGGAGAAATTAGGCAAAATGCTGATATTAGACAAAAATCTCAGACAAAAATACATATATTGTGGGAAATGGATCTGAATAAGCATATATTGCCAACTTTCTTAAAAACATTCAAACCAACATATCAGAATAACACGGGCCTTTTCAGCTGTCCAACTGCCACTGGACAATTGCTCTAGTAGGTGAGCCCTTATCTCCAAAATCCAACTTTGACAAATAAAGAACAGAAGGGACATGGTGGTTCAGTGGCTAAGATGCTGAGCTTGTCGATTGAAAGCTTGGCAGTTCAGCGGTTTGAATCCCTAGTGCCACGTAACAGGGCGAGCTCCCGTTACTTGTCCCAGCTTCTGCCAATTTAGCAGTTCAAAAGCCCCTAAAAAATGCAAGTGGAAAAATAGGGACCACCTTTGGTGGGAAGGTAACAGCGTTCTGTGCGCCTTTGGCGTTTAGTCATGCCAGCCACATGACCACAGAGACGTCTTCGGACAGCGCTGGCTCTTTGGCTTTGAAACAGAGATGAGCAGCGCCCCCTAGAGTCGGGAACGACTAGCACATATGTGCGAGGGGAACCTTTACATTTACCTTTAATAAAGAACAAAACTGTTAGAGCCCCCAGAGACCAAAATATTGCATGTCCACTGACCCTTCTGCTTCACTGGGATGGAAAAGAAGCCTGCTGTTTGAATATTTCAAGCAATGTGTGACTACTCTTCCCTCATGCAGGTGGGAGATGAAACTTCCAATTCATTATTGAGTCTTTGGGGGGTGGGGGTGGGGGACGAGGTATATTCCCAGGTAGAAAGTGACTTTTTCAGAACAATTCTGAAATTTCAACATTTTATGATATTGTGATGAGGTTGGGGGAGCAACATTGTCCCTATCCAGTAACTACAAAGGTTAAATCCATCAAAACCCTAACATGTGTGCCTTTTTATTTTAGGTCTACAGTATATTTTTAATACAGATAGTCCTTGACTTACAACCATTCAAACTTACAACAGCACTGAAAACTTGCGACTAGTCCTCACACTTAGGACAGTTGTGGCATCCCCATGGTCACCTGGTTGAAATTCAGGCACTTCGCAACCGGCATGTATTTACAATGGTCACAGCATCCTGGGGTCACGTTTGTGCCCCATGGCCAAATGTTCACAAAATTGGGTACATGTCACATAACCATTGCTTTGCTCAACAATGGAAAGTCTGCTCCCAATTGTCCTCGTAAGTCAAGGACTACCTATAGTTCACTTGATTTTTTTACCACTTTTAAAAAGTATTGTTTCACTACTTCCAATGAAATAAATTTGTCCTTCCCCCACTCACCCCAAATTGGCCCTAGCAATCTGTGCTGTAGTTCTGAAATAGTTTGGCATTTAACTTTTTACTCAGATCTGAGCCACACAATACACATGTAAGAATTCAGACTAGTCCAAAAATCAGAAATGGGAACTTCTGTGCCAGCACAGCTTCCAGTACTGTTGAGTGTATGAACTGAGAGTGGGCCTAGCAATTTTAAGACTTGTGGACTTCAACTCCCAGAATTCCTCAGCCAGCAAAGCTAGCTG